TTTTTTTTATATCCAGAAAATAGTCAATGTCAGGCATATAGTATGCACTCAGTAAAGATTGAATTAAAGAATCTAATTCATTCAGTATGCACTCACCAAATATTTAATGAGTGCCTAATAAATGCAGACCTCAGTGCTAAGAACCAAAAGAGATAAAATCTTTGCCTTCATGTCTTAAACTACATAAAGCTATTCATATTCACTTTTTGTTGCTGCTGGAAAAAAAAATACTACTAATTTACTGACTTAAGACAACTCAAATTCATCTGTCACATTTCTGCTAGTTCCTCTGCTATTGGTGTCACAATAATGAAAACAAGCTGACCTGGGCTTTTAACTGGTGGCTCTACAGAAAAATAAGCTTTCAAGGTTATTTCGGTTGTTGTCAGAGTGGAGTTCCTTGAGGCTATAGGACTGAGTGTACCTTTTCTTGATGGCTTTCAGGTAGAAGCCTCTCTTAGGGTCACCTACATTTCTTATCAAATTGCTCCCTGCCTTCCCCCATACCTCCCTTCTTGAATATCTCTGACTTTCCTTCTGCCACGTCTCTACTATTTTTAAGGACCAAACAGATTAGATTAGGCCCCCAAGAATAATACAGGATAATTTCCTTTCTTAAAATCTGTAAACTCAATTACATCTGCAAAAGTCCCATTTGTCATAAAAGCAACATATTTATAGGTTCCAGGATTGGGCAAGTGCCTTTTTATTAGATGCCACCATTCAGTTTACCACAATGACCATAATTCTGGAGTATTTTCTAGCTTATCCTTCACTTGGGTAATCTGGAGAAATATTTTACAACAATATGACTAAATTTATTTTGTCTACTGCACTAAGTTTTGCTTCAACATTAAAGAGACTAGAAGTTCTCTGAAGAATTATTATGAACTGATCTTAATTGAAAGAGGGATTGATATAGAGGAAGGAAACAAATCTAAAATAGATAACAAAATCAGTAAATCTTGTAAATAAATATGAGCACATAAATAAATGATACAGGAGCAATATGAATGTCTATTTTACCTAGCTACAGAAGACTATAGGGTTAAGCAATTACTGTACTTATCATTATTCCAAATATGGATAGTTTTCTGAAGGAATCGGTCTGCTATTAACACACATAATAATTTTCTATTTTTCATACTACAAATTTTGGGGGGTAAAAAGTAAATAAAATTATCTTTCCCTCTCAAATTTTGCCCAACATCAAAAAAAAAAAATCATAAGTGGATTTTATTTTCCATTTTCAACTTTTCAAACTAGTAACCTGAATAAAATTAAGTCAATTTAATTATGCAGAAATTTAAAGTATACTATTTGTTGGGTATTATACTAGATCCGGAAGACACAAATATAATTTCCTTACACTCCATGCTTGTATGATGCTTGCCTACATATAAATGAGTACATTACAATACTGTGCAGCTAGGGCAATAGTAGAAGCAAGCACAGGCAGAAGAAATGATTTACTCTAGGAAACAATAAGGTAAGATTTTTCTGGTTGAAGAACATAACAATCATTAGAAGAGGGAGGAAGGGAAGCTGAGCCAACAGCATTGATGGAGGCACTAAATATGAAAAAGCTCAGTATTTTTTTAAGTATAGGTGTAGCTGGAGGGTAAAGTAAGAGGCAGTGAGTGGGAAAGTGAAGCCTGGAAGGCTGCAGATTAGAGACTATCTTGCCCTTTTGGTTTATTCTATGACATGCCAGAAAATATTTTTTAATCAGGGAGAATACATAATTGGATTTGAAGTTTTGAAAGATTACTCTGGTTGCACAAAAGAGACTAGGCTAGAGGTTAGTTACTAGCTGTAAAACCAGTTTAGATGAGATTGATGAGTGAGGATGAAAGCCTAAACCGAGGAAGTGAAAATAATATAGAAC